GTCGCGTTTTACATTTTTATTCCCGCTCTCTCTCTCTCTCTCTCTCTCTCTCTCTCTCTCTCTCTCTCTCTCTCTCTCTCTCTCTCTCTTTCTTTCTCTCCCTTGCTACCGTCCCTGGTAGTTTGGTAGCGCGCGCGAGCCTGGTGAACGAACGAGCACACAATCAGCCACCCCTGCTAGCCGCCCTCCTGCCTCCTCTCACCCCCTGACCTGCACCTCCGCCGGCGCACCCTTTGCTGGAGACGGTATTTCACATTCAAAACGTTCCCTCCCCGCGCGTCGCGGTCTCTCTCCTACCCGATTCACGGACCCCTTGCTTCTCGGCCAACCCCCGCATCGCGCGGCTCCTGAACGAGCGTCCTGGCGTATCTCTGGAAGGAATATAAAACATGGATCGCGCCCGCGGAACTGCACACGCGGCCGCCACTGTACGTGAGCTGGTTGGGTACGCGCGAGCGCGCCGGCTTTAATTTAAAAAATAATTAAACCGCAAAATTAAACGGACCTACCCCTTCCCCTGTCTATATTTTTGTTTCTCGTCGTGTTTTTCGGCCGGCTCGCACGTATTCACGGTGGACGGGAGGGATACCAGGCTGATAGCAGAGAGAAGCCGATTTTCTTTCGTTCTTTTTTTCCACTTTCGCATTTCTCTCCCTCTCTTTCTCTCTTTCTCCCCATCTCTTTCTTGCTTTCTCGGTTTTGTCTCGTTTCTCGTCTTTCGCTCACGAGACAACAGAGAGAGAATGATGGTCTAGACTCGCGCGTGCTAGGTGTTATGTACGTGACTATGCTCCAGAAAGTGATAATTGGAAGCACAAAGAGAATAGACACGGATAACTGATGTCTCCATTAAGCGTGTGCCGATTGTGGTCTTCCAGGCTCGACTATGATCCCTTCCGCGCTTCGTCTCGCGAGAAGAATGAAGGATCTCTCAGGGTGTGAGGGACACGCTCGATCGACAGTGACTGTGGAACTCTCGATAAGCATTGTCTTTATGGGTGTATCATACACGCGACGCGAAATTCAATTTTAACTTTCTCAACCGTTCGATACCCTCAACGTATCGCAGATTCACAAATTTTTACAAGTTCATATTGGAAAAAAAAATCACGTGTTTTACGAAATATCTCACGTATCACGTGCCAGTCCGAGTTTTCTTTAGTGGCTGACGGAAAACCTAGTCGATTTCGACGCTTAAAGGTCATTGCTCTACATAGCGATGTTATCCGGGATTGTATCCACAAGATCCTGTTATAAATTTTACAATCTTTCGTGACAAATCTAGACACTTTTGGATCGTGCCCCGCACAAGGCAGGTTAGATATATTGTTTCAGGTGTTGTCCCAACAAAGGCACAAAGACTCGTTTATACACATTAATATTTACGACTTTTTAAGAAAACTTTATCCAGAAATCCTTCATAACTTTAGGTCAGTGAAATGTTTTCATTATACTGAAGCTGTTCTTAAATCATTGAAAGACATACAACGCATACACTTGTCACGAAGAAATGTGTCTTAGCATCGTCGCATCGTAAAGATCCACCCGCATATGTATGGCACTAGTAAAACATCTTTTTCCTCCTGTCGTGAAATGTATCTGTGTGTCGATAGGTAGAAAACAGATACCAAAAATTGTAAAACGCTTCTACGGCGCCACACGATACGATTATCTCAATGTAAAATCAACGAAATCCTCGGAGGGTCAACGCGATTACTGTCGCATCGCTGCAAAATCCGAGAGAAATGCCCCTAAACTGGAACGGCACATTGTCTCAGGTATCGTCGACCGTGCAGGGCGACTATATTTTTCCGCACCCGAAACCAAAAGATTCCTTTAAGCCTACCTCCGTCCGTCGACCCATTCGGGGCTGTAAAGCACCTCCAGGTGGGACTGCCCGCTGCGATCGGGGCGACCTTAATCCGTGTGAACAAAAAGAGTTGCACTGGAATAATGACAAGCTCGTAATGCGAGACCATTGTTGCGGGACAATATCCAGCCGCGTTAAGCTCTGTAAACAGTGATGCCTTTGACAATCCACTTGAATTTTCCCTCAGTTTCCCGAGGCTCAACGCAAATTACACTGCGCGTAACGAGTAATTGGCGGCCCGGGCCATGATTTTTAGCTCATCAACAGAAATCCCTTCGTGATTTTTATGTTAACCGAAACAACTTTCCGCATCGACATCCCGTCTGCGTTGCATCGCGTGTGCGTACGCGATGCGTTACCTAATATGTGTAATTATTATTCAATATATGTATCAGCGGAATTATATCGGCTCCTCGAAGAAACCCGGTAATTTACCGCGTACTTGGAATTTACGAGCGTTTCTCATGGAAATAGGCAGGTCGTCGCTTAATTAACGTAATCATACAATTATGTTGACTCTTCAGTTTATCTTATAATATTTTGATCGCGTCTTTAATAATTGGATCGCGACGAAGCTTCTTCGTGAAACGACGTTTCTCACGTTCGGAACCGAGTCGCGTTACTCATCCTTTAACGAATATCGGGGGGCAGCTTTCCCCTCGATTTTTCGCTCGATATCAGTACAGGAGACCGAAATCGCCGCCGTCGTCGTTATCGAATCTGAATCCGATCGGGCGCGACGTCGTTGAATCCAGCCGAGACATCCGCCGTTAAACGCCGGCCTCAGGTGCCTCGGCAGCTGATGCACCTGCACGACAGGTATCACTGCGATCGTCGATGTACGCGCGTCTACGTTCAACATTGTCACCTGCAGCAACCGGCATCGGGATCAGCTATTTAATACGACAACAACGCCGATGTGCCGATCCCACGAATTTTCGAACGTTTACGCAAGCGGATACGCACTGCGAGCGATGTCTTTTTGTTTTTTGCACATTTTATTAATCTCTTTTATCAAACAAGAAGAAAGATAGCATGAGAAAATTATTTCGATCTACATATGTTCAATTTCCTACAAACATGGTACGAGTTTAATCGGATATAATTATAATAGTGCCTTGAGAATTTCAGGATATTTCTTGTCGATAGAAAATGACCTGGGAAATCACCTGCTTGTAAGACGATTGATAAAAAGAACTTAATTCGCATTCGTCCCGGCGCGCGCGCACAGTCACGCTTCCCTGACGGGGAAGAGGAATATATATATGCGCGCATCGTTGAGACGTCAATAAACGTGCGAGTTGCGCCGAGACGTGATAAGATGGAAGAAAACGAGAAGACGGAGTGCATCGAGGGTGCATCTACGGTACGAATCTGCTGGTTTACGGACCGTGCGCGTCTATATAATTATTCTCGATGCAGGATACACATATCTTTATAAGGAAGGGTTCACGTATATACCGCGCGCCGTGGTATCCGCTACGGTATCTTTATAGCTTATTGCAACGCTTTAGGCAATTTCGTGATCAACGTGGAGGAACGGGGGGGAGGGGAGGAGAGGGGAAAACCATGATCGGGCCCGTACGCTCAAAGCGTTTCGCTGTTCCATCAGATTTCGTTTCGAGGCACATAATTGTTTAACATTACTGCGTATATGAAGAAAATATGAGATTAAAGATTTTTAAAGTCTTAAAGGCGTTAAACTAAGCAGTTTTAGCCGAGGATGGTATATAGAAACGTATCATTACACGACGTTAATAACATGCTAAATTAACGAGCTATAAGTGTTAAAGATTTAAGACGAGTCAGTTAATTGTTAGAGAGGCCTTTATAGAAACATAATGATAATAACAAAGTAGGAAATCAATCGCGGACGGAGCAAATTGTATTTTTGCTTTACCTGAGTCCGAGAGAAGTGGAGTTTGCAGGAAACATTTTGTTAAGAAATAAAAATGAAAGCGAAAAATTAAGAAAAGCTATCGACTCGCATCCAGATTATCCTCTTTATCCCTCCCGTTATCCTCGCGATACAATGTATCGCCCAACAATCGAGAAATAATCATTCGGGGAACGCGACACGCAGACTCCCGTACACGTTGGACGGTCCATGTATGTCTCTGGTTCACCTTACGGAGATGAAGGGGGACAGGAACTCAGATGGAGAGATAAACAGATTGAGCGCGGGAAGTAGCGAGAGGGAGAGAAAGAGCGGGCGAGAGTGAGAGAGTATACTGGTTCGAGGGACCAACAATGCCCTCATTCAGGCTTCGTATACACGGGCGCATTATTGAATTCAGTCGCCTTTAAACAGACAGAGAGAGAGAGAGAGAAAGGAGTGACGGAGCTCGCAGGAGCAAGAGGGAAAGAGAGACAGAGTCAGAGAGAGAAAGGGTTATGCGGACGGGTGAGATGCGAGAGGAGCGGGCTGAATGCTATCTATATTATCCGAGCATAGTCGCTCACGCTGTTTGGCGTAGATCGAGATTATCTTCCGCAGTATCTGAATCCGCAGCCGCGCGCCGCCGAAAAGCAAAGTGCTTGCTCCGGGCGAAAGGAAGAAAGGGTAAGCGGAGAGGGTACGCGAGGGGGAGGCGGCAGGGGGTGTGTGTGCGAGATCGCCGCGAGATACGTTTGTGCTGGTACACGTCTAGCCTCCAAATCTAATGTGACGTCTGTGTCACGTACCTCCTTCCATGCTGCTCCATGTCGCGCGCATAAACGGAATGTGTCTCTCTCATCCTCCCTGTCTTTCGCCCGCCACAAAGAACGCGCCCCTATAGGCACGCATCGCCGGCGATATCTACGCGTTCCTGTCCTGTTTCGACGAATACGATACTGAAATTCGCATGTGTCGTTACTTCGAAATTAAGAGCTATCAGAATTTGAAAATTTTTCGAATTCGACGAAATGATTCCTTTCATTATTTTGCCAAATATTAGAGCTCCATGTAAATTACATTACTAATCAATGAGTCTTTGTAAATCATCGCTTTCACAATCATTGCCTATAATTTATGAAAGAGCTGAAATCTCTATCATTCTACTTTAAAATCATATTTTTAGCATAAAATAATATAACGTAATTTTTATTTTATATTAACAAACGAAAGTGAATTAATTATTGTTTCAAATGATTAAAAAAATATTTTCTCTTTTCATTTATTCCTAAATATAATCACTAAAGCTATAAGCTGCTCTGTTTACTTTTAACAAACAATTATCACACTTTTTTATCATGCATTTATTAATAACTAACATTTTAATGATTTATATATATATAACGAATAATTGATAAGCAACAGTGTCTCACGAAATTTAGTTTACCTCGAGCCATCTTTTATGTTCCTTCTTTTCCTCGTATGCCTACTATTAAGATCTTTCTTTACAGTCTTTGACGTTTCGGCAACGAGTCTCGCATGCTCTGCCATTAGCTCCTCAGTAAGAGACAAACTTTTTTCGTTCTGCAACGTGTCGTGTAATATTCTGGCAATTGGCACATTTCCGTCGGCGTCACTGTACTCGACATCGTTACTTGTGTCCGGTCGAATGAGAAGCTTTCGGTTCTTCGACTTGTGACGCGTTTGGTGGGAACGATGCGAATTCTTCGGCAGCTTTTCGGACAGTAATTTCTGCGAGGATAACGGAGGCGATTCGGCTACCCGTTCCACAAATACAAGCGAATTGTTATCATCTTCGTCGCTACGATAGTCAGAACTGGTCGATTGTACTTGCCTGTTCAAATCACTACTCGATTTAATGCGATTCGCCTTTTTTATTATCTCATATACGATGCGGGCTTTATTAGCAGGAATATTAACATTGCTGAGCAACAATTTTTTCGTTGATCGATCTTTTTTCTTTTTCTTTAATTCCGCGCGATTCGTGCCCGATTGTATTTCTGTGTTACTCGTGCCTCGCACTCGCGATTGCTCGGGATCTAACTTTCGTCGAGCAATATGAGGAGCGCCGATGACAACGCGAGTTTTGCTGTTGTAAACGTTTCCGTTAATATCTTGGAAGTATTCTTCCTCGGATGGCGATATAGTCTCGAGCATGTTGTCGACGGCGGCGTTCAGTGATTCTTTGTTCTCGCGGAAAGTATGCGACACCACATTCGTGCCTATATTGACAACCGGTTTGGGAGATTGAGATTTATCATCCTGAAAGTCTCCAAACATCCTCATACTCGGCGTTTCCTCGTAAACGATGTCGGTGTTCAGATCGACGCTTTCTTCCCCTGGACCGTCCAGCCTCACCGCCGGTATTAACGACGTTATGTGCTGCTTCACGTCATCAGGCACCTCGGAAACGTTGACGAGATGCTCTAACAGCGCCTTCAGATACGAGCCCCTCGTCGCGTAGGCCATGTGATCGAAACCCACGGCGTGCACCAGATTGTCGTACTTACGCTCGAAAAACATGGCCACCCTCACCGCGTCGGTCACGTCTGTCTTCGTGTAATCGATGGCCCGCATCACGCCGTACAGGTCCACGTCCACGTTGGAATCGCGCGCGTACCTCTTCAATTCGATCGGCTGCGCGCCGGGACCGACGGTGGTTATTTTATCTCTGAAGTACTCGAGAGCCTCCTGCTGCACGGGATCCCGCTGCACGCTTTCCAACTCCTGGCCCAGGTCCATCATAGCCCGCAAGAGTCGACCCTTGGTCGCGTACTCGAACGGGTCTCTCGGTAATTTCAGTTTGCGCAGTAAATCAGGAATGGAGAAGAACTTGATGATACCGCGGATAATTTTCTCGTTTCTCGTCCGCGGTAGCGCGAAGAAGAGCGACTGCATATTGATATCGTCCATCGTTCTCGGTTTTCTGCGCTCGATCTTAATCTCGTTGTGCAGAGTGCGATTCAGATGGTCCGACGCCGCGCGATACTCGGCTGAAAACTCGCCCGGTCGAGCGATCGTGATATTCAACATCATATCGTTCATCGCGAACAGCCTGTCTCTGTAAGTGGGATACTCCGTGAGAAAATCCTTTCCGAAGATTTGCTGGAATCCCCGCGAAACGAAATATTTTCGAAGGACGTCCATCTTGCTCGCGTGATATCTGTAGTCGCGCATCTGCTTCAGCGCGTGCTCAACTTCCTCCGTGTGAACGTCATTCACGAGAGACGGCTTAAAGGCCCGGATGCTCTGTTGTATCGCGGCGTCGATATCTTTCGTCTCGGCCAGTTCCAGCATCTGCAGGAGCAACCGTTTCGGCGTGTCCTCCGACTGCAGCAACCTTTCCATCGACGTCTTGATATCTTCACATCGCAGCAGAAGCCTCAAATCGTCGTACGTGTGATCATTCGGGATCTCATCGATGGCACGATCGATTTCGTAAGGTGACGGTATTTCGTAAAATATCTCAGTATGCACTTCTCCAATCGACCATGATCTAAACGTAGTCATGAAGTAGTCGTGCAGAAACACCTCTATATCGTTGATTAACGATTTGCTCTTGATTAACCCCGGTCTACTGACGAATTCCCTCATTATCACGCGCAGCGTGGAGTATATAGAGCCAAAAGGGAAAGCGCGATAAACGTCCTCGACGGGCACGGCTACGTCCTCCGCGTGACCTAGCGCGTACAGATTTAGCGGTGCCAGCTGCTGAGACGACGTGCTATTTAACCCATGAGAGAGATAAAAGAAGATTTGCTCCTTTACGTATTTATCTATATTATCCCTGCAAGCTTTAAACGCGTTTTTTATGGACCCGTCTACCTTCACATCGCGCAGGAACAGCGCGGAGTAGCGCATAAGTATCGACCACTCGCTGTGACTGGTGACTGACGACGACAGGTCAACTTGGAAGCGGAAATTCGGCGGCAGTATCTGTATCAGATTCTCGAGCTTCAACACGAAATCCCGATAGTCTGAGCACGGCGTGGTGGCCACGACCGCCGAGTTATACAGGATCGTTACGCGTTCCTGCGGCACGTTCGCTTGCTCCGGTAACGACCTCGCGTTCGTCTCCAGAGAGTCGAGGGCGGAAAATATCTCGTCGTTTTGCAGCTCCTTGACGTTTCGCAGAGCGGTCAGTAGATCGAAAATACGCTGCTTGAAGGTGCGCGACTTTTGATACACGTCGAAGTTCCAGGGAAGAAGCAACGCGACGTCCGTCCTCGACAGGATTCGCAGCAACGGTTTTATCGAGGTGAAATGGGTGCACGGTATCGCGCGTATCAGAACTTCCACGTGTTCCCGGGTAACGTCGACGTCGGGCGATTTCTCCAGCGAGGCTTCGGCGTTAATCAACGCCTGTCTCGTACTCACGTCTGTGGGATTGGTCAGCTTGCAGTAATACAGTATCTTCGCGACCTTCAGCTTCCGCGACGCTATGCCGCTGAGATTGAAATAAATCGGCAAGTGCGGCATCAACGTTGCCAGCTTGCAATTCTTCACGAGCAGCTTCACGTAAAAGGTGGTCAACGGCAGCGGCAACAACAGTCTCTCGATCTCCGTGTCGTTTACCGCGGGCGTGTCCGGCATTCCGCGGACGATTCTTTTGGCGAAATCGATCGAATGTAGGGAAGATCGAAACGCGTAGCTCTTCGATAATTCGTCCAAGACCGCCAGCACCCGCAGTTTCTTCGTCTTGTATTCGGTTAGCTGGAAATTCAAGGGTAAGGACGCGATGACTTTCTTAATCGTCATCCGACTCTCGAGTTGCTTGATTTGGTTGTACCTGAACGGAATCTCTTTTATGATGGCTCTTATATCGTTGCTGTCGATTATCGATTCGTACGGTACTACATTGGAGCTGATTTTCGTCAGTTCGCTTACGAGTGCGTCGAGGGATATTTTCAGCTTGTCGTTCGTAGAGCCAATAGTGATGCTCAGCAGCAGTAATACATCGTGCAACGCTACTCTAGGAGTTGACGCGTGCTTTATGTCGAAATTTCCGGGTAATAATTTAATCAACGTGGAAGGCTTCAAGTATTTTTTTATGAGCCCCACGTAAGGTACATTTTGGGGAAGTATGTTCAAGAGTGGCACGAGATCGTCCTTCGTGATGTTCGGAATGTCCGGATAAAGCTCCTCTTCCAGGAGAAGCTCCTCCAATTCCGAATGAATGTCCGTGTCTAATTTTAACAATTGTCGTAGCAAATGCAGCACTTTCGTCTTGTACGTCGGCTGATTGTCGAAGTTAAACGACTCCGGCAGTAAACTCGCTATTTTTTCAGGCTTGAAAAATTGACGTACTTTCGGCAGGGACATATTTAACAAGCTGACAAATTCGAGATCCTTGCTGGACAGCCGCTCGTAAAAAGTCCTGCGAAACGATTGTCTTACCGCAGAGGTACCGCGCTCGCGTAAAGCCTGTCTCACGGATCTCATAGTCTTGTAAAGAATTGCCTTTCGTCTCAAGCTGGATGATCGCAGCAGATTATCCAGCACAGTGGCGAGAGCGTCGATTGACGAGCTGTAGTGGGTGTACTTGAAATCCGGCGATAAATACTTGATCATATTATCGTGATTCAGGAATATCTTAAGAGGCACTAAATCGTATTTAAAATTGAGATTCATCAAAGTACGATGCATGCTTTTAACGTCTTGCTCGGTAATGAAATTGTAACGTTTCTCAAGATTTCGCCGTAGCTTATTCGTCGACTTGTAAACATTCTCATTTTCAATCTCGTTGTCATTTATCAACGACAGCAGATGAAGTAATTTCTTAGCCGGAGTGGAAAACATTTTCCAATCTGTGTCCTTGTACTTAAAATATTTGAGGATTTCTCCGCTCTGCAGGAAAATCTTGATAGGTCTAAAGTCTTTTTCGTGCGGTATCAAGACCAGCATCTTCTTCCAGTCTTCCTCAGTCAAATCTCTCCTCGAGAGCTTGTTGGAACCTATCATCAATTCCAGAGCGCGCTTGAACGATTGCAGATGCTGTTGCATGTTGTGATCGACGAACGCTGGTACCTCACGCAATAGATAGTCGACGATATTTTTAAGTATCTCGATATTGTCACTGGAGGTGTCGAAGAGTTCGTCCGTATTCAGGTAGCTCAGTATTTCGGGATTTAATATGGAATTAAAATAATCCACGTTGATCTGCTGAATGTGTCCAAGTTCCCGCAGCAGCGGTCTGAGTTGAAAACCAGTGACAATCGGATAGCTCAAATCTTTGACGTCCGACAGCAGCTTGTTTAACTCATTCGCCGCGGTATAATTACTACTGACTTCCGGCAAATCCGTCATCTTGGTCAATAAAGTAACCAGTGGAATTGTCGATTGGACGATCTCGTTATCGCTCGTTAAACGAGACAGCGTATTGGCGTTAAATAAATGCTCGACGTCGAACTGTTGTCTGACGCGATGCGGGATGCTATTCACTATGTCTTGGAAGTCCGATATCTGCGTACTCGCGATATCTTCTCCCTCGTTAGGTCGAACATTTTTCAGCGCTGAGAACGCATCGAGTAATTGCGTGTCGTTGTCCATCCGATGTTGCTTCTGGAGAGCATACAGTAACGTACGATACCGCCTTTTGGGATCGGCAACCGCGAAGACGGTGTGTCCGAACTTCTCGCTGACATCCCTTCTGTGCAAATATAATCTGACAGGAGCGAGCTCGTCAATATAAGTGACTCCCACGTCGTCGAGTACAGTTAACAAGTCCACCTCCATCCCGAAGCTGAACACGTCTTGCCGAATGGCGCTCAACATTTTGAAAACTTCGCTGTTCTTTTTGATCACAGGATGCACCAGCAAACGATGCAACAATCCCAGCAGCGTTCCTTTAGCCGATCTGCTGGAGGGAACGGTAACTTTGATCTTATTCAATCCGGCGGCAGTTAGAAGCTTTCTAACGGGATCGTAAACGGCGGCCTTGATGGCAGCAACTGTGGTCTTCAGCGATTCGATATCCATTCGATATCCCTTCAATTTTGCCTCGATTTTGGAAATGGCTCTCATTAGAGGAAGGTTAACGGCGACGTCGGCCCTTTTTTTCGCGTAGTGCAGAATCGCCATCAAGAGCTCCTCCTTCTCCAACGAATCGGATTTTCTGAGCTTTTCCGGCAGAATGCTGTACGCCCAATCGGGTGTCAGCAGTTTTCTCAGTGGCTCGGTAAAGGAATCCGTAGGCAAGGCCGATACAGCTTTACCGATTCGCTCTTTACTGGCACGCGACGCTTTGTCCAGACTCTCGTCGTACGTAATTTCTCTGAGAATCATCGATGCGGCCTTCGTCAGATCCTCCGACTCATTCCTGTCGATGATCTGCTGGAAATGATTTTCCAACCAAGCCTGTCGTTCCTCGGGCGAGATCGTCAGGTTCTCCAACTTGCTTATTTCTAGCAGAAGTGGCTGGTAGATGATGTTACTCGGATCTTGCAACGACTGGATCAAGTAAGTGAAAATCGGCGTTTGACGATCGTCTTCATTCGCACTGTCCAGGATACTCAACGCCGCCCTGATGCGTCTCAGCAGCAACTTTTCCACGCGTATTATGCGAGATTTCGTCAAGCTTTTCAGAAGCGTAATCAAAGCGTCGCGCGCGGTGGCTGCTTCTAAACTCGCGAGATTCAATTCTGGCACGAGCGCCATCAGATTCGCTTTCCTCAGCAGCAGATTAACGGGCTTCACGTACGTGTTGTACGGCAGATACTCCATCATCGCTTCCAACGTCTGTTTTTTCAGGATCTCGGTGTTGATCAGAATTTCTTCCTCCAGAATGCCCTCCGCCTGCGTCACGAGGCCGGTTAGATTCGCGTCCGATGAGATATGATGAATGGGATGATTCAAGGCTCTGGCGAGAACGTTTTCCGGCGTTCCGCTGATGGAGACGTTCCAGTCGCCGACGTTCACGTACGCGTACGACTTGAGAATTTCGTCCTGCAGTATTTTATTGCGAGACAGCAATTGTTGAACCAGATACACGAAATCCGAGCGATCGAATGTTTTAATCGGCAACGGTGGTCCGTCGATGCTATCTACGGCGAAGCTCAACGCTTCTAAGAGCTTCGGTTGAGTGGTTTTCAACCCCACGGCCCGTAATATGAGCAGAAGTCTCTCCATAGGCGTGTGCACGTCAGCCAGACTGAAAGACGTCGACAAATACGTCAATAATTTCCATTTCTTAAAAAGTATTTTCAGCGGCAGATACCGTGGATCGCTGTCGATGTATGGCAGATTTTTTAGTAACATTTGCAGATCCTCCGAGACATATAGATTGATCAGCAGCGGCTCCGCAAGATAATTGTGAGCGTTCTGGAGAGCCCTGTATAAAGGCTCGTCGGATTTGATTGAAGGAAGTGTCAGCACTCTTTTCAGCATGGCTAGCAATAAGCTCCTCGGTGTTTCGTATTCGAACTTGTTGAACTCGTAACCGAGAATATCGACGATGTTCGGCTTGGAGAAAAAATTCAGTATAGGAGCGAACTTCTCACTCTTGAAGGCGTTCGGTATGCGCATCAGCAGGGAAAAGAAGTCGACCTCCACCTCCGTCGAATCGTCCCTCTGGAAGATGATTCCGGTCTCGTAGAGCAGCCCTCGTTTAGAGGTCAAACCGTTGACGCGACCTTTGTAAATGAAATTATCGATGAGGTTCGCTTGCGGCTTGTTCACCGGGACGTTCCTCAAATGGATGAGCGAGGTCAGCATTAATTCCCAGGGATCGCCACTCGCCTGTCTGTCCCCGAAGGCGTAGGTCCACGGCAGATCCTCGGACAAATGAGGACGCAGCATTTTCATCACGTCGCTGATGTTCCGCTGCAGGCATGGTGTGTCGAAGGAGTCCAGATAGTCGCTCACCTCGTGGAAGCTAATCGGCACCGCGTAGTCGTAATTGGCATCGCTCGCCAGTTTCTGCGAGACGAAAGGTATCAGCAAGGACAGAGGTTTCCTCAAATGGCGCAGACGTGATTTTCTACGGAGGCGCGACAGCACTTGCAAAAGAGCGTGATCGCCCGTCTCGTGGAAACCGATGTCGAGATCCCGAAGTGCGAGATGCGAGTCATCGAGACGATCGAAAAGATATTTAGCCACGGCGGCGACGTTAACGGGGTAATAATCGTTTGTCGAGAGCTTCTTCAGGTTATCCTTCCAGTTGAGATCGGTCGGATAAGGCTCGACGTCGAAATTCTGTAGCAACAACGAGGTCGCCTCTCTAATCGCCTCGGACGACAGCTCGTCCGCCTCCAGTCTCTCGAGGACAGTTTTCAGAAAATTCGTCGCGTTCTCCAGATTCGGCCCCATGTACTGCAGCAGATAGTCCTCGGCGCCCCCCGAACGCTCCTTCAATCGTTGCGCGATAAATCTGATGGCGTTGTGGACCTCCGGATCCGTCAGATCGAACGCCGGATAATTTAACAGTATCGCGGACACTGTACGCAGATTGAGAATCTGGTCGCCGTCGCGAGCCGCTTGTAACAGAAAGTCAATGCCTTTCGTCAGGGACGGCGGCACCGCGTCGGCCCGGCGCTTATCGCGCGAGACCGACTCGATCACTTCCTGGTCTATGTCGAGCAGCATATCGGCGAGCAGCGGCGCCCGCCGCTCCAGGGCGGCGTCGACGTCGGAAAAGGCGTTTATGCAGAGCGACGCGTATTCGGAAACGAAGCGGTTGTCAACCCTCTCCAGCATTTGCAGGAGCTTGTACAGTTGCTGCTTCGGCAGTTTGTTCCTCAGCGCCGGCAGGACCGGCAGAAACTCGTAGACCGCGACCCGACGATTCCGCACGGCGTCGTGAATCCGCTCGAAGGGCACTCTCGCGTGGTCGTCGAGACAGAGCAGGAGCACGCGGCCCAACGTCGTTACCAGATTGTCGCGCAAAACAGCGGCAGCCTCCAGACGCGATAAAACGTCCCGCGGCGTGAGAGCTGGATATTCGGCGACGCTTTGTAAAGTCTGACTGGGTACCATCGATCTTCGCACCGAACAATGCCGATCGTAATGCTTCTTTCCGTGCGAGCTCTATCAAGTGGAAAGGCAGATGCAAAGAAAAGCAAATGTTATTTTTATCCTCTTTTTTTTACCTTTTCTTCTTGCTGTAATGTGGTGTGGCGCAGGAGCACGCAAGTGTGTACGTGATGGTACTTATACGTGATATTATTTATGCTTACCGACACTTGTCGTTCAGCAACGGATTCTGCGAATTGACAGACCGATATTGACACTATTACGGTCAATACTACTGTCCAGTTTATCCGAAACGGGATTCGGAAATTTGCAGCGTTATATCGACGTTCGAATGTCGCCGTCCTTTTACCTTTCGTAATGCAACCTTCGCAATAATCGAAAGCTGCGTATCTCCTATTAGCCATCTAGAGAAATGTTTTAAGTTACATTTTAATTGTATATCTATCAAGTTGTCTGAATTTCTTTTATTCGTGAAAATTTGATTCAGAAAGAAGTAAACATGTTTCTTTATCTATATGCAATGTACAGAATTTTAATATTTTTTTAAATTTCGTGCCACGCGCGCTGTTATAGTTCTCTTATCAATGATCTCGTGCATGAAAATCTATCTACATTTTCAGTGTGATATTATTCTCTCGAATTTTTATGTCTGCGCTTTATCACGGCACAATACGCACGCTATGTTAAAATTAAAATACACGCTGATAAGAAATTAATACGCACACCGAAGCTAAGACACATTATTTCTACATCGTAAAACAGATTTATAGCTTACCCTATAGCCTGTTAATTGTTTAATGCAATGTGCAATGTGTTTAAATTTTAAATCATTTTAGAGAGAACAAAACTGATATTAAATAAAGATATAAATTTAAAGAATAAATAATAAGGAAAAGGATTATTTAAAAAATAAAATTATGTAAAAATATAAGTAAGAATATACTGTACTATAAATCTATTATCCAAAATATATTATAAAAAAATATTTTAAATATTATTAAATCAATTCATAAATAAATATACGAATATATAAGTATTTATGAATATTTATAAAAATAAATTAGAAAAAAATCTACCGCGCATAATTTTAAATACTTTAATTTATCACCCTTTTTTATAAACTATAATATTTTATTTAAAAAATTATTATAATTGTTAAGCATGTAAGTCATCATCAATTGTAATCACCAATCGTATTGACACAAAATAGTGTGATTAAAATGCAATGTAACGTTATGATTTTTACATTATGTTTAATTTTACAATAAAATAATTAGTAATTATAAAAGCTATGTAAAAAGAAGTGCAAGCAAAAGCGTAATCACTATTTACAATCATAATTATTATTATAATAATTTATTTTCACTGAAATTCATTCACATTGTATCAGAAAGCAAAAGTTTGAAATACTCGATTTAAATATGTAGATTATTAATCTGTTTTAAACTAATTATATATATCACCATTTTCTATTATAATTTTGGAGACTTACTGTGCTACGAGGCATATTCCTTAATAAAACAATTTTCTCTTTGCGAGCGGTTTAACTTGGAGCTCGCTCGCTTTTCGCGATTGGCGACAATGAAAACGAAGACGACAATGTCGGGAGACGACGGACCTGTCTACGTCTCCGCCGATCGGTGCCAATGCTGTGACCAATTAAATCGATAGCGGTGCCTGTTCGCGGTGACGAATTACTAATCGATTTCGGTGCCTTTTCCGTTTATCCGACACAGTGCGAATCGCGTTCATTGCAATCACCCACTGCCGCACAGTTCTCGCGTAAGGCAATGCACCCACACGTATGCGTCGCGAGGCGATAATGCAAGACGTATCGGAAACGTGCGAAAATAAATGGCGCAAACTAATTTTCTATGAAATTGTTTCTATACGGATACTTTCGCGCGTAGTAAATCTAGCGGTTATCAATCGCAAGAATTATTTATCGGTCTTGGTGTAATTCACTCTTTACGGTTGCGTTAACAGACTTATTAATTGATACAAGTTTTGAAACATAAAAGTATTTCATGAATACGTCATATATTTATAAAAAAAATTCAATTCATATATAGGAGAACTTTTGAATTGCAAAATCTGCTTTTTATATGGCACTTTAATTTATTTTATTGGAAATCACCAGCGGTAACGATATGATTACAACTATTTAGCTCTATTATCAATGCTCTCGTTAACGACATAATTGACTTTTGTGAAGAGAAGTGAAGAGAAAACGGAAAACGTTCACGGACTTTCTATTTTGTTCGGTATACGTGTCGACGCGCTGACGCCAGAAACGAAACGGGCGCTGAAATTTGCGTCCGCGCGTAAACTCGAGTTTCTATGCATGGACCTTGTTACAATTTTATTCAAACTTGTATATTCCACAGAATGCTGCTATACCAACCGCTGTATCGCGATGTCGTATATTTGCATATTTGAATGAACACTTTGTAACCCTATTTCTCTAACTTCTCTTGCAAATTTCTCATTAGTCAAAAATTAATTCTTTCCCCCTTTTTTGTTCAATGCGTGACAAAACACTAATGCATTATTTATATTATTATTACCTGTGATTTTGTTTTATATATTCTAAAATGTTATACATTTTTCTACATAAATAATTAACAAACTTTTAGTCATTTTGCTGTAAAGTTACATTTGCCGTAATTATATGATAAACATCACAAACGAAAGAAATAATTTGAATTACTGCACATTCGTGAATGAGTGAAGCTTTGTCTAAAAGTCTCTTTTTACCGGGTACTTCACGGTGGCATCCATATATATAGTCCGCGCTTCGTCGTAGGGAATTTACCGAACGTTTCGACAATGATAAAAGCGTTGCATCGTATTTTCCGAGAACATACGTTTCTTGCGACCGAAGGGAGTATCTTTCTGCGCGGCGTGCGTGCGCTCGCCGACGCGTGCATAACGAGGCTATCCTAAGAAATCTGAAAAAAAATTGCTCCGAGAGAAAGAGAAGGAGCAAGGGAGACGCCTTGAGAATCGCTCGGCTCCTCAACGCGCAATTGACATCGACCGAGGCGGAAAGAATCTCGCTGACAGGACCACGATGAATTATCGTGTCTCGGTACGTGGTAATTAATTATCGTGCTTAACTCTCTCTCTCTCTCTCTCTTTCTCCCTCCCCTCTCAATGATCGCCATCGTTGTGGGTCCGCACGACCGTTCGTCCGAAATCGCGTAGATTATCGACAGCGTTCACCGCGACGCGAGATTAAACAATTTCAATTCACCGAACGACAAATTAAATGAACGATCGACCGAACGAAAAGTTGTCGATTAACGCGAAATATTTCATCGCGTTATCTCGCGCGCGCGAGCGTTAAAGAGGAGATTATGAAAGCCATTAAAAATTTAATAACGGCCCTTGGAGAAATCGCAAGAGTTGTGGATATATCATATGATAGATGACGCGAGTCTGATAAAACCTTTCGGTCTCTCGTCCGCTGGACGTTTCCCAAAAATACACTTTTTCGATACCTCGGCCTCGGCAATCACTGTACGATCTCGAATTAACGCGGGCTATAAATCAGCATTATTTCTCGCAGAGAAAACATTTCGATATACCGGTCGAAAAAAGAGAGAGAGAGAGAGCCGATCGAGATTAATTCTGTTCGCCCGTTCGACGACAATCGAGTTTTTATAAGCGGCTGCATAATGCCGATAGCTTATCGCGCTCACATCAGAACGGTGTCTGTCTACATACATTTTATAAACTGCTACACGGTAGAAAGGAGACATTATTTTCAAAATAGATCAAATGATCTCACCGGATATATTCTTTTTGTAGACAATAATCAAACAATTGTATAATTAGAAAAATTATATAAATATATTTTTTATGCTCCTCTTTTTTTTTTAATTTTAGGATATTAAAATTAAAAATAGAATAATATTCTAAAATTCTAAGAGAAAAGCATAAAACGTATTTTTGTGTAACCATCAAAGAAATTAATTCGATAATATTACAATTTTTGAAAAAATATTGCAATATATTTCTATTTTTTAAAATATATTTTATATTTACGGTGCGTCAAGCACGTATTAATATCGTAGTAATTTTTTTCCAACACAGAGTGTTAAAGATTATTTTCGAGGACTCAAGATCATTTCTGCTGGAGTCAATCTTATACAACATACTCGAAAAATGTCTTAATGCAATACGAGAAGTACGTCAGATATGCGCGCAATCTCGCCAACAAGCGGCGATCCCATCAAGCAAACATCGCATTGCAGCGATCCGCGATCCCGATCACAATAGCGACGACACGCACCCCATTTCTGCCGACGTGCTTCTCGTCGGCAAATTTTCCACGTGATACGACCGACTTAATAAGGACATCCCGGCGCGGCCCCTGATTCAGCCGTGGGCCGAGACGGCTCGCGCAATCTCGGGCATCTAAATTCGCGTCGGACGATGTTTGACCGGAAGACTTCTTCGCGCGCTCCCGCTCCCAGGGTGGACAGGGATACATTTCTCCGGGGGCCCAGGGAGAGTACACGCTCGTAGACACGTATTTATGTAGGCGCAGAAGGAACGAGAAAGAGAGAGAGAGAGAGAGAGCGAGAGAGGCGGGCGCGGTCCGCCGATGCAGATGAGATAGTATCGCACGCCCGGTAATCGTCAGATCTCAGGAGCGGTACAATACCGGACCGTTCTCCACTGTTCAGGAACACTCAACATCGGCGCGACAATGGCACCGAATGGGCGACAGCTGCTTAACGCTCGCCCTCGCGCGACCATACGATTCTCTCTATCGCTCGCTATCGGAGAGTTTTTAACTACGGATTTTCGGTACGCAAAAAATGGAGGATCCGGGCGACGACAGCCCCCCCCCGATGCGAAACTCTCGCATCCGTTGCGCGAGGAAGACATACTGCAAACTATGAGACGAACGTCGAAAAGAAAGAACCTCATCTTCCTTTCGCGACGAGCTAGAAGAGCTCTATAGACTAATTTAATTGCACTAGATTCTTATTTCCTATAGTGAGATAAGTACTCGTATATTCGAACTTTGAAATGAAAAAGATGAAAAAAGGATAATACTCAAAAAGAACACCTTTTACAAACGATTCAACCGCTGGATTTAAATTACCGGACAAAATTAGATTTAAATAAGTTGTATTTCATCGACGAACACGACGATTTTAGAAGAAGCGAGGGTTATTTCGAGTGGAATACAGGTTTCAGAAGTGTAACACATGTTTGTCGAAAACGCGAGTGCAGAGGAATGTCGAATAACGTTGCAGCTAGCGGTAAAAAGCGAAGTGATGGCGAGTACGAGAGGAGAGCGAGGCGCTGGATCTCATTCTCTCTCTCTCTCTTTTTCTCTCATCCCCTCACGCCTTCCGTAAAAACCGAAAATCCGCAGATCGGTGATCGGCGATAACCGAAAATACAGCTGCAGTTTGCGGTCACCCGATGCACGGTGGCCGTAGATGGCCGATCGCGATTACCAAAACGGAGAACCGAGGCCCCGAGAGCAGAAACGAGATGGGCCGGGAGGGTGACAGAGAGTATGTACGAAAGAGAGAAAGGGGAGGTTGGGAGGGTGGGAGAAAGAGGGAGGGGGGGGTAGGGCAGGGGAGGGAGGGGAGAAGAAGAGCCCGTAGAAAACGTATTTTGACTGGAACTGCACCGTAATTTGGCGAGCATTGTGCACGGCCATTGTCGAGCGGCGTGCCGAGAAGAGGAAGACTCGCGACGACGTGCGGTTTTCACGAGAGAACGCTCTATACGTCTCTATATAATGCGAAGGAATAAAACGCGACGCGAGAGAGCGTTTTTCCCCTAACGCACGGCTCGTCTCGGGGCCCTCGAGAAATTTGTTTGCGTTTATTGGTACCGTTGAGTGTCAGAGCGCCCGAAGGGAGGGCTCCATCAACACGGGCTATTGTGGTCAAACCGATCGCAGTCACATCCGAGACGCTTGCGCGTGATAAATTACACGCAGGCGCACAGCTTGTGCTCCAATGCAATTTCAATATCCCTTCGAATTTATGAAATATCTCCAGATCATTGTACGTACAACAATCGCTGTAATACAAGATATATATAGTTACAGGAACAATGCGCGTACAAATTCCGAATGTAAGAAAGGATCCCGAAATCAGATGTAACGTTCATAATTGCTTAAAATAATATATAGATAGGTATCTTAAAACGAGAAAAAGAAGAGAGAATCCTTATTTTATTTTTTTTTTTATCGAGCTAGGCCTGAGACGAAATTCCAGCAAATTCCGAGAAATGATTGAACCACAGAGGAAATGGCCTAAACACCCTTAGATAGGAAAACGAATAACTTTCGTGACGCTTTGCATCAGGTTCCATGGTGTAACTAATATATTATATTCATTCCAAGATATAGACCCATATCCTGGGGGACTCACGTGAGGAGAGGCAAGAAAAGGGGATAGCGCGATAGATGACTGTAGGAGGTCCTGTGACGTCCTGGGGGGTTCTAAAACCAACGAGCAACAGGATATCAATCTCGCCACCATTGAATTCGGTTTTGCCTGGACTCACGCATATAAGTCATTCCCTACTTTATCATATATATTCTAATATCCGTATTTGCTTGTGGAGATAAGAAATACGATGAAATCTGAGAAAATTGACATTCGCTATTTCTAACACTAACTCTATTTCTAAAACGCGATTCTATAATTTTACCAATCCAAATCTTATAATATTTCTAGTCGACAAAAATATCTCTCGATCCTTTGATTTTCGTACA